TCCGGACCATGCCGAGACGCGTAAGGCCAGCGACTCGTCTCAGAAAGCCCATTTCAGCAGCTTGTAGTCAGGTTCGAAGCTTTTCGGTCATGGTCCACCACTGATGACCGTAGGTAAGCATGGGGATGAGGATCGACTTCTATACCTAATGCTTAGTCTTCAGACTCATCTCTGCTGTAGTCACAATGGTTCTGGATAGTTAACACAGAACACGCTGGCTACTCCAATTCGCCGGTCCATTTCTTAAAAATAAATCACTAGTAAATATAACCCCGATATACTTTAACTTCTCCACCTGCGGCTATCTTTCTTTACGAATCGAATTTGTCACGATTTTTTCTCCAGTGTCCTCACCGCGTGTTCAGTCTATGGTAGTTGTGTGTACTCGATCTGACGATGGAGTGGCTCACGAACGATGGGATCATGAGCAACTTTTTTAATCTATCGTTTAACGTGAAAGAATATGATTTATGTTGTGCTTTGTTACGAGTTTCCGTAAACTTGAGTTCTTCAGGGGATCCGTTCATCAGAGTCATTCAGACTTCACATTCCTCGTTAACCAGTGGATCGGCAGACGCTTAAACATTCGGGGAACAATCGAACCGATGCTTTGCGCTGAAATCAGCGGTCGACTTAGTATCTCTTTCTTGTCGACACATTTAAGTACGTTTCGTCATTTCTGTGATTATGATTTTGATCAAAGTAGCGATTTTTACTTAGAATAATTATTAACTGGCTTGTTCTGTAGAAATTTAGTGGTTTGAAGTTCAACCTAAAATGTAACATGATCAACTATTATTTTATTTGACTTTTTTGAATACAAACTATAAGATGAAGCGACTGGGGCGTTAGGAGAAGCTTGCATCCTTTGTTATAAAGCAATCTGCTGCCATATTGCAACAGCCAACTTGGAACAAGTGAAACCAACCGAAAATTTTTACGCAGATTCAGATGCATTGGGCTTTCGTGGAACGATTGATGGTTCCTGCTTGAACGATCAAATATATATACCGCTATATATCAAAAGTATATATGAATGAATAAAAATTTTTCTTAATCGACAGGTGTCTTCGACACGGAGACCTGAAGTAACTCACAGTGGATTTCGCTTTTTAGAAGATGCGAAAGAAATGGATTGATGTAAACGTACCTCTGCGAGTTGTAAAATATGAAGTTGTGTGATGTTGCCATGATCTGTAATGAAAAGAGAACCGGTCCTGGCTGTCCTCTGTTGTTCTCACAGTCAAACTGCATTACTTCCAAGAGCGAACTTAACTTCACTGTTAGGATGTCAGTTACTTCTGCACCACTTTGCTGTACACTGTTTTTGCATTCATTGTTCGACGACCGCTTATAGCGACACCTTTGTTTCCTTTCCATGCATCAGCGTGTTTCAGACAGCTAGATGAGAAGTTCCCTTGCAGTCTCGGGTCTCTTTTCTGCTTGTTTTACTTGTTTATCTACCTCAACAGAGTGAACGGTGGGTGACTTAACCAGGATTCAGACCTGCGAAATAGATGCAGATATCTCATTCCTTCTTTGGAAATTAGCACGGTTCAAAATTTTAGTTTCTCAAATGCAGATTTGCTGCATGAAAATCAAGATTTCACTTTTTCTGGGTACACGCATTTCGCTGCGTAGCCGTTTTTGGGAGTCGTGACAAGTCTTCATCGCTATTCTGGCGGTTAAGGAAAGTATATATTATGTTTTCCTTCGCTTTCAAATATGATCCTTATGTTCTGAAAACTGATTCAATGGTGATTTCATTTAAGCAATAAAATATTCATTCTCCGCGACCCGAAAGGAGCAGCGGCGATGGAAGATGATGATAATGATGGTGAATATTCATTCTTTCATCTTGCCAATTCCCTACGGTTTGGATGCAGATGTTTGCTTTTAGGAGAATATGTTTTAAACTGCTCTAGTTTTTTATTCCTTCCACTGCTTTGCCGTAAGTATTCTTGAACGGTTTTTCCCGTGACGCCATTACAGATAACTGAACGAAAATACCGTTCTTATGTGTTCTGTTGAATTCGAACCCTTGGATAAAATTTGGCATATTTTCCTCCTTTGGACAGCGGAATGGGCATTTAATACTTTTCAGCTTTACATATTTGCGTGCGTACATATTTGTGTTTGCGGCTAATAATCTGATTTGAGCTCTATGATCAGTGTTTATTTTTTGCCTGTGAAGAAGATTTATAATGAACTGACTTTCTCGATTTGTTTTGTAATATTTTGTTCTCTCTGGCCTTTTTATTTTTATGTGATATGGTTATTCTATAAATTTAAATATCCATGATACAGATATATAGACGAAGAGCACGTTCTGTTATTAAACAATTTTTTAAATGTTACTAATTACATTATCATTTTAGACTTGTGTCTGGAGAACAAATTATCTGCAGTTGTGAAGGAATATGAAGAGTGGATAATACTTGGAACGAATGTCCAGTAAATTTTCTGATCACCTTATGCGAAGAACTGGTCAACTTTATCGATCGTTTACTCTTTCCTGCAGTCAGATTAACTTATATAGATACTGGCTTCGAAGTTGGAGGTTCAACCACTTGAATATACCATTGCATTTTGCATAAATCTCAACTCAACGATGAAACTGCTGTCCGGGTGATAACGTATCACAATTGACGCTGTGTACTTTGTTACCTCGGACTGATTGATAGTAAGTGCCTGGATTCGTTTCTGATGTTGAATACCATCGTATTAGATGCTTTCGTCTGAAACAATTTTTTATGGTGGATAATTGCTAATTTAATTGCCCACTGTTTAAAATGCATATTTTGCTGAAAGACAATCGTCATAAGAATCTTACCTTGTACATGAAACGGGGTTCTAATACGAGTAAATGGTTTTTCGTAGGATACTGATATTTCTGAGGCTGTCTAGCTTTGGGGTGGTAGCCATAAGTGATCCATATATGTAGCGGTATATATAGCCAGTGTACAGCCATTACGCAAAGCATCAATATTTGGTCATCCTTGTGGAATCTTCTCTCCACCATGATACGAAATTCGTGGAATGGAAGTTGACGTTGTGCGTCTTGAATTTCCCGAAGCTGGGAAACAAGTTTTTATGTTGTTTCAGAAATCATTTACCTGAGCAGCATGATCTGAATTTGCTTTCTTGCTTCAGTGGGCTTGAGGTGCACCAGATGAGGCTGACGCTCACGCGTTGCATCGGTTACATGCACACTGAGAAGAAAAATTTTCAAATCTTTGCTTTATGGATCACTATTAGAGTCACTATTTATTCATGTACATATTTATTTGTCAGCGCTAAAGATCTGTTCTATAAAAAGAATTCACGATAAGGATTTCTTTCACTTCTACTGCGGTTGGTAAATCGACCTTCAGTGCAGGAAGCGAGTTGTGATTTACACTCGATGGCACTGCCTTTAGCGAAACATGTAGTTATTTGAAGCGGTCTGACGCATAGTCAAGAAAATTACTAAAGTCTTCATTTGTGACACTTATTCGCTTTCGTGTTATGATAGACCTTTATTTGCATATTTTGTTGCCCCATCTATTTTATCATCGCCTCTGATTGAAAGATTCTGTAGCATTCGTAGTCGATAGTATATTATGAATTATGTCACAGAATTGAATCACAGGTATGACGTTGAATCTGTCGCAGTTGTTGATTGTCCTATGGCAGGTAGGGAGTGATAAATTTAAGGCAGTTGAGTACTGAAGGGCATTTCTTAAGCATTGCTTAAGTGAGCAGTAAATTAGTTTACAGCACGGAGAAATTTGCATCACTCCAAAAAAACAGCCCTGTCAAGTGAATAGAACATGCGCTAGAAGAAGTCTTGATGTGCAGCGATTTAAAGCTATGCGCAGCCAGAAGCGCATACTCAAAACAGTCAAATGGAACTGACCCTGTTTATGCCTGTCTAATCCTAGATGCATTCCAGTGCAGCAGTTCTACACTCATCCGTCGTTCAGATGATCGGTGTTGAAACGGATCTTGCCTGTGTGTTCTCAACTGACAGTTTCGCACAAGCATTTCGTTACTTTTATTGTTTAATTGCTATCGTACTCGCTGATGAAAGTCTTGATGTTTGTGTCGTCGGCAGTCCCGGTCATTTTCTAGATAGCAACGCTATTAAAATTCGACAAGCGTCTCATTAATGCCTTTCACTGAGGGTGTAGATGCAACCTATTTAAAGATACCTTCTTATCGTCAAATAACTGATCCATGAGACGCCGTCTGCGACTAAGTTACGAACTGAGTGATCATTGTGGTGATCACAGTAGATTACGCGGTGCCGGTGTGGGCAACCGGTAAGTCAGGCGGTCATTTCATTTCAGTGGAACAAGTGTCAGGAAGAATCCTTGTCTGTTGTGGGAATATCTCATGCAGTACTAAATGTTCCTGCCGCCTATTCCCCAACAGATATGTCGAGTGACAGCGGCATAAACGACTTTTATGCCTGCATGCAATCGGCTGCACGGTCGATCACGCCGTTATTTTTGCCTGCTCCTACACTAAACATTCAGGAAAAGGATTATTCATCTTCTCTGGTCTGAAGTTACATGTCAAAGTTTCTTTAAATGTGGTTAATCAGTATAATGACTTTCTGTCACGCAAGGCTAGCTAAATGTCTAGGATATTTTGGTATCAAACGTTAATGATACTAAATGTTTTTCATTTCGTGTGTTTTTCATTTCGCTTTTTGAATGAGACAGTTTTCGTTTTTCCATAAAACGAAAAAATTTTTAAACAACATTCTGTCAACATGCATAAGCAGAGAAATGTATAAATGTCATTTTGTCATAAAGGCTGGACGTCAAACTAAGTCAGCAGTTGTCTCGAACGAAGTCATGATACTCGTTGATAACTTGTGAACATCTTATTGCGAAGAGACTTCGCATCAAGAAGGCTAGAAGATGTTTCAGTTGCCTAGGTTAGTAATTGCAGTAACTGAAGTGGCAGCTTGGGCGTTGGCAGTATCTGTCTTTATGACAATAGGTTACTGGTTAACAAGTGTCTCGTCCAGTATGCCAGAATGACTTAACGCTGAATATTTATTCAATCAGTTTTGATGAGTTCTTATGCGCTTTGGTCACGGAAGCAGCAACGTCAGTGGTTTCTCTTACGTTACCTCTTCTTTGACAATGTTTAAGCTTCGGCAGAAGATAACCCAAGTCTGGAGCAGTGTCC